AGTATACTCTTGTAGAGGAAATCAAGTAGATCATTTCTAGAAAAAGCCCGAACTCAATAGTCAAACACTTTCGGGAGAAAAAAAGCCGCGAAAAAATCCGCAATAATTATGCATCAACCTAATACTTCTGCAAACCCCTTCTTCACATCCTTCCTGTCAAACAACACCAGGGTAATTTCTTTGGGAAGAAATTCTTCCTAAAGAGAACGAAGACTACGCTTATATAATTGGCACAAAATTGTGTCAAACTTAGTGGCTGTGGTAATGAATTCCCGAGTACGGATTGATGATAATGAGTGGTAATAATGTGTCTCAGAAAGAGCTCTCATAATTTTTGTGCCATTAGCAGTTTGAATCAAAAAAAAATATATTGCCAAAATGATCCAGAGACCAGAAGTTGGATCCAAAGCAACCTTTCAATAGAAAAACTCCCACTAAAAACTCCGAATGAAGTCTTCTCGGAGAATGTTCCCCTTCATGGTCCTTTTTTGCCAACTGGGCCCTCCTTGCCTGGCTACCGTTCCGAATCACTCGTTTTCCGGGGAGTATCGCTCCTTCTGAAACATTTAGTTTTGAGTATGACTCATTCGATTTAGATCTTATAGTAGTCTCGATTATGGTAGGAACTTTCCACTCTGTCGTCAGCTATTATTGTTTATTGACCTGCGCTTGATGTTTATATTGCGATGAGGGTTCATTAGTTGATAAGATACATTGAGAGGTTAATGGTTTACGGATCCGTTTACTGCCCACCGTTCTTCATTCTTCACCTACTTACCACCTGATTTTTGTGTTTCTGTAGTTTCCGATTTTCCGTGGAACGTCTTTAAGAAAGGAATTGCCATCGAACCTAGCCTGCATAGAGGAGAAGATCCATTTCTTTCGTAACTCACCAATCTGAACTTCGAACTCAAATAAGAGCCATTACCTATACAATCAAGTCTTCATCTAAACAATTTGGGAGGTTGCATGGCCTATCCCGGAATCTTAGTCGATATTTCGTATTTTACTTCTTTTCCAAATCCCAAAAAGCAAAATTTTCAATCCATCGACATCGATACCTTCGTGCTGCTCTTTTCGAAAGACTTTTATCATGAGCTACCACCCATATTTCAGATGAGGATGGCGTAATTTCTTGAGAGCTCGATGGAGCGTAAACTGTAAGGAAGGGAGGCAACGCTTATAATGAAACCGTTATCAATAGGAGATCATACGCAAAAAAACTGTACATGATTTGCTTATACTCTTCGACTAGTTTTCGTTTCTCTTCCAGAAAATGTACAATTACAAAATTCCAGCCTCTTCTCTCAAAAAGTCTTGTAGGAAATAGCTGGGATGATCTACCACATCCTTGAATACACGAGTTCAAATTCACAAACTCCAACCGGTGCAAGCCTTTATAGACACAAATAGATCGCCATACAAGGCGGACAAAAAAAAACAATTGAAGAACAACAAACAGTAAGAAAGCGACCTAATGATACTACTAACTTACGATGATTACACTCCATTCACTGTAGAATGGTCCGGTTATCTGGTGTTCTTTCACTAAACTTCAAAAAACAATTCATGGCGCGATCATTCTTGCAGGAGAATATCCCTCGGTCTCAATAAGTATGTGAATTAGTTTAGCAACAAGAGCACTATCTGCTTTCACATTATAAATCTCTCCTCATTTAGATTTTAGGCAAACATTAACGGCACTTCCTATCCCTTCGTCACTTATGGAGGTTTTACCTGTCCTAATACATTGCCGTGACATACGTTGTCTCTCCTTGCCGCTAATGATCGATAGATGAAAATTCACTTTTACCAGTTTAATGAGTGATCAAAAAAAAAACAAATCAATGGCAATGATAAACAAAAACAAAATCATTCATCGGCAACATGCATGAACTTTGAGTGCAAAATGTTCCTCGTTGCCACCAACACCGGCCGATTTAACCAACGAATAATCTCCAAATCGATAATTATCGACGTGAGCCTGAATCAGGGGGAATTGAATGGCAACTATGTGAAAGGCACTCATGTTTTGGACCGAAAATGATACGGTCATATTAGATTTTCATTGAAATGTATTAGCCCGAAGTACCTGATATGCTCCTATTTGGGTAAAAGAAGGTGGGCAGTTTCCTAAGGCCAAGATACAGTATCCCTTGTCGTTCACAAGCCAACCTTAAGACACAAGTAAACAAATTGTACCAGTTTCCAGCGAAGAATAAACTTACCGGGTAAACCAGGTAGACCGTCCTTACCCGTTTCACCTTTTTGCCCTGGCAAACCGGGAATTCCCTGAAGGAGATCAATTTCACGAGATCCAAACAGGAAATAAAACCAAGTATTCAACGTGTTCAAGTGATCGGCGTACCTCTGGCCCTCGTGGTCCTGGTAGGCCTATCTGACCAGGTGGACCGATAGGTCCCATCATTCCCTGTGGGCCGGGTGCGCCAGCCAGACCTCTTTCTCCAATAACTCCAGGATTACCGGGCACCCCAGGTAGACCGGGATCCCCTTTCTTGCCCGGGAAACCCGGAGATCCTGAAAACCGTCGATCGCAATTATTGAATAAAGTATTTTTGAGTAGAAACTACGAGACTGAAAAAAATAACGAAATACACATTTGCAGCCGATTTGCCCCACCTGGCCGACCGTTGAGACCGTCTTCACCCTTTATTCCCGGCCATCCCGGTGGGCCTGGTTGGCCATTGGTACCTGGTAGACCTTCAGCACCTTTCTCTCCTTTCTTACCTGGTAGACCAGGGGAGCCCGGCTCACCAATCTGAAAAATAGTACAGCACGATTGTTTTATTGGAGGAAATAACTGGGAGGTATCGAAAGTACCTTTTTAGGCATGATTCTACTATTAGCTCTTTTGTTCCTCTATTTCTTACGTGCTACAGTATTCTGCTACATGCCTTCGCGCGCGGCGTGACTCTCGCCGCGACGCGACAATTTCGATCCTACTGCATCATACCCAGGTGTTCCTGGTCAGCTTACTTTTTCAGTCACTGTGCGAACTTAAGCTCTCACAAGGTGCAAATCTCAGAGGGTTAGTAGTTCCATCCAAGACTCTAGGCATTCTATAGTGAAATACTAAGGAATGACGTAGTTTTGTCTCTAATTTTTCCGAACTTATTCGAGAACTGTACATATCGGGAATGGACAGCAGGACGGGATCCTTCGTTCCTTTCGAAAATGGGGATAAGGTAGTAAGTCAACCGAGCCTACCAACACAGATCTTCAAAGATGTGAAATCGGGAGGACCTAAACTTACTTCAGAACTAAATATAAGTCAACTTGCCTTTCACAACACTCAGAAACTTGTTCAAAAATTACACGGAATCTCATTGACATTACTGCATGGAGAAAGAAAATTTTAAGAAAAAGGTACCAGTTTTTACTCAACAGAAAGATTTGGGATACGTAGTTCGGCTGCTATCTCAGGCTAGGGGAAGAGGGCAAGTACTGCATAAAAAAAATGCTAACTAATGAGGATGGCTCATTGGCAAAAGGCGCTGCTACAACGTGAACAAACTCCAGGTCGAAAATCGCAGACGCGAAACAGTCTTTTACGTCTAAGGAGTCATGCGTGATGAGTAATTAATTCTAACCTTAAAAATCAAAAAATTGAGCCAAATGTTAGCTCTTCTAACAAAGATGTGTTTAATTTACGAGCTCGCAATGCTCAGCGATTGTAATCAAATGCCATATGCATGGCGCTCCTCCAAGGAATGGTCGTCACAGTTTTACAATCTCTTATGGTCAATAACACAAATATAAATAAGAGGTAATTAAATAAACATAAAACAAACAGCATAGTAAACTTGAACAACAACCTTCCCTGGGATTCCGGTGTCACCTTTCAGACCTGGTATACCGCCGGCGCCGATTTCTCCTTTTTGTCCTGGGTAGCCCTAAATTTTTACAAAATTAAAACCTAAGATTTCGCACTAAGTTTTTGGGAAAAACATTGCAAAATATGTTTTGGAGCATAAGTAGCCGAATGTAGCCGAACGCATTGCAACTTAGGAAGAATAAGTAGGAAAAAGTAAAGTTGAAGAGGAGCCAAAACTGTGCTAGTTCGTTAGGGTTAGCCTACAAAAAGGCAACAGCACAAATAATGGTTTCAATTCATGAAAAAGCTTCAATTAACTTTCATCCTCAAAAAACTTTGAAGAAAATTAATAAGTACAAGGCATTGTTGATGAACTGACAGTGCTTCCTTTATCGCCTTTCATTCCGGTTGGACCCATTGGTCCCGTATCACCTTTCATGCCTGGGAGACCTTGCATCCCTGCTTTGCCCGGAATCCCTGAAAATAAACTTCCATTTTGCACACAGATATGCTGCTTGAGGTGTAGGAAGCGTGCGATCGCAGCGCAGTAAGTAGTCTAACGACAACTTACAACTGGAAAAAAATAAAAAGAAATCACTAAAAATCAGACAATATACGCACCGTCAAGGCCTCGTTCTCCTTTTTCGCCCTTTGTTCCAGGAAAGCCTGGTGATCCGTTGACTCCTGGTGGACCCGGTCGACCGAGATCGCTTACTCGAGCGTTCAGATTTTTCACGTGCTAGAATCACTAGTTGATCCACTGATTTTATAGATCTAATAAATGTTCACCAACTTCGAGAAGCATCTCCAATTCAGTGGCGTGTTTGTTGAGTTCATTCTGAATGGCGATTACTGCGGCCGTGTCCAAAGCGGCTCGTAGCGGCCGAAGCAGGGCCAGAAATAGCCACACTTCTGGCCACATGATCAAATTGGCACTACCTGACCGATTGAGCGACGATCTTGGCTGGTGAAGAAAACGTCTAAACAAAGGAGAAGGAAATGATTGCTTTTGAAAATCGCTCTTCAGGAGGAAAGAGTCTTTCACATCACTGGGGAATCAGTCAATACTGGAATTGTAAAAAGAAAAAGAAATCCGCTCATAGACCGGAAAGAAACGTTGGCTGATCGAGCAAATGCTCTGACAGCCACTGATTTATGAGATATCAATACTCTTTAAAAAATGGCACTCTCGAAGTGAAACCCATTTTATGGAGGTTCATTTCTTTGATTAATACAGGTTGCACATCATACTGAATATTATTGAGATGACCTTTTTCGATAAATGTGATGGACGGGTAAACGACGCCCGTATCAAAGGCACGGTGCCCGAATCGGTACAAGTTCAGGGCTTCCTTCCCCTGATCAAGCCGATGAAAAGAAAATTCACATCAAAGAATGAAGCTTTCAGTCACCAATACGAATTCGAAGAATTCTAATGCGCGGCGCATACCAAAGGAGGTTTATGTGACGACTCTTGGGTAACTTCAGCTGATTAGCGACGAGCTTATAGTGCTAGCATGGCTTCTAGAGCTTCGGGAAGTCTCAAACGCTCTCCCATAAAAACAATGACTATTCCAAGTAGAGTATTGTTTAAGTGGCAAACACTTTAAAAGGGTTCTGTAAAAAAAAGTCGATAGGCTGAAAAGAGCAAAAAAATGAGCAGCGTTTCGAAGGCTGGTTTCAGCTCACACGAAATCCACGATAAGTTCAGAGAGTACCTCAATAAGTTATAATCCCAAGCACAGGAATTCATGGAACGGAAGCCTAGAAATGCACGGAGCATTGGTATCAGAACGAATCTTTCCTGCTATATTCGGGATGGTCCAGTTACGGTAGCATATAATAAGGTCTCTGGTGTTTTCAATACTGTCCGAAGGATGCGCCCCGCATACGACTTCAAATCGGAATAAGAGGAGTGTTTTGAATGCGTGCTGGCCCATACAATGACTCGCAGTGGCCAGCCGATGTAAAAATCAGTGCTTTTATTCTCCCATACGAGTCTGGTACCAAATCACCTACCCCGGAGGGACACGAGCCTTTGTTGGCTCAGGAGCATACGATCTGGGGTTCGAACCCGTGACCATGCGTCTGTGATAGTGCGTCACTTGCGACTACACTACTTCCGCCCAGCACATAATTGGTGGTAAAATCGAAAAAAAATTACTCAAAAATAGAGTGACTATTAAAGGCACGAAAAATATTCGAGGAGCTCTATATAATCCCCACTCTACCGAGATACTTTTATTTATCTACTCGGTCACTACTGCTTATTTAGATGAAATCCTAGAAATAAAAGGAGGAGGTGCCGAGAGTGCCGAGATATCCTCAGTCGACACAGTTGATCTTGAACTGATCTCATCACCACAGTCCACTGATTTTTAATAAGAACGTACTGAATAGTATAGATCTGTGAATGAGCCAATAAATTCGTAACGTAAGAGTAACAATAAACTAAACGGAAGTAAGCCGTAAGGAGTCCCATGCAAAGGGTGTGTGATGAGGAAGAAGAGTTACAGCAATTGCGACACTGGCTCTTGGGAAAGCCTTTGGATTCCAGAAAAACACATTAATCGCACGCTGAAACCGAGATATATGGTGTAATTCTCCGGCAATCGACAGCCCCTCTTGTGTGTCATCTGTCCAGGCGAAAACATATGCTTCAATCAAAATACCCTATTCATCGCTGCATTGATTGAGTTATCACAATTGGTATGAGAGCGAGGCACAGCGTAATCAAACCTAGCCAAGCCCTTTTTTGAAACCATAAGTTCGCAATTTCAAGGAACTGTCTATGAATAAAAGGTATGATGTGCGGCTGGATTACCGTACGCAAAAGTTGCCGTACCGTAATTCAGCAGCACATCATACCGTTTAGGAGAGTTACGGTAGCTTCTCTCTTTTTGGATGAACAGAGCACTGTATGTCAATGGAAATGGTGCAGCTCCGAATGACAGGCAAAAAGGTAAGATGACACGATACGGTGACTAAACCATTGTGAGTTTTGCACTGGATGAGCAGGGAGTAGGTTTCAATGGGTGATACGGTGCAAAATGTCTACGTTTTAACTAAATGGATTACAGAAACTCGATGCAATTGAGCAAACATATACAACTGAGCAATAGGAACATTGAGCAAGTTGTATTTGCTTTTGTATAGGATGAACGGGAAGAATGAATCAGTGACACGGTATACTAAACGGTTACGGTAGCTAACAATTTGTGCAGGACAGACAGTGCGAATTTAAGATACTGTAGGTCGATCAAATGTGATGTCTACTGTATTATATTACCAGACAAGGACGAATAGCTTGTACGGGTTGTTGAATATATGATAGAGGTTTTTCTATCAGGTTAGCGGACAGGCATGAGTGACACGGTATGTACTGCATTACGGTAGCTTTTGCATTAGAAGAAAGATTAATTGCAGCCGATGTGGCAATTTTGCTGGACTACAACATAAACAAACTCGATTGAATGGGCGGGTTTAAAGGAAGAAATAGCCGGTTGATTAAATGACTGTTGTACTCGATAGAAAACAATGCAAAGTATAATAGTACGGTAGTTTCATTTCAGCTTGATTACAGTAATCTTTGTGCTGAGTGACCAGACAACGTGATTCGTTAACAAGATATAAAAAGTGGATTAAGGTGTCTATCGTACTGAATGAATCTAATTATAAATGTTACACTAATTCAACTATAAAATAGTTGAACTGAGCTTGGGCTTGAGCTTCGAACAAGAAAACAGGCAAAAACAAAAATTACGGTAGGTCAACTAGAATACGATAACGCAAAATAGCAGAACAGCGTTTGAGGAGATCGCGTAAACATCCTAAAACCTACTCAGTACACCAGTAAGCTGCGGTAGCCGTACAGTAGTCGTTTGCTGCCCAGTAACACGGTAGAAAACAACTATGAAATCTACGTTGAACCCACTTCAACTTCAAAGAAGGTCATAATAAATCTTTAGGGAAATGTAAAATCTGTTTGTCGTGTGTTTGTTCTATAGTGGAGTTTGCTTCGAGGCCAGCCCTCAAAATCCAGATAGGTGCCATTCGAGAACCCTTGTTAGGAAAAAAGATAAAGTTACAGACTGGTCCAGGTCAAGGTTGAAAATTGGTGTCGAAGGATTTTAACAAAAAGTCCGTCGAAAAGAGCCAATGACTGTGAAAACTCGTACTTTCACATAAATATGATAAAGGATAACAACGGCAATGAAAGTATCGTATGATAGCGGTAAGTAGCGGTCGAAACTACATGAGAAAAAACGAACAGAAGAAAATACTGAGTACAGTACAGTTGAGGTGGGTGTGATGAGGCATAGGCGGTAGATGCAGTCATAAATATTTCTAGATACACAGCTGCCGAGTGTATTACGAATAGGTATTGACTCAGTCCATAAAAAAAAATTATCAATCATTCTGAAAAAAGATCAAATGAAAAAAGTGAAATTTCTTCAAAAGATTCCTAACTAGGTGTAGCAATAACGACATAGAAGATGTGTAAAATAAATGAAAAGATGAGGGTGGAGCGGTTGTTACATTACGCGTATGCCGCCGTCGAAGCTCCTTAGCCCTGCCACCTGTCTTTACCTATATAGGATATCACTTCAGCGACATGTTCCAAAAATCATTCGGGTGGACATTACACCTAGTCATTGTTGCGTCCCTCCATCCGCTCTGATGAGTTCTTAGTAATGCTATTTAGCCTAATGTTTCCCTACCCTTGGTCTTGCCCCTTTCCTTATTAGACCCATCAGATATTGCAAAAAAAAAAAAGGAATCATCTAGTCAAAAATGATACTTTTGAAAAGTTTATTTCACGTATTGTGCAGCTTCCGTGCAAACGCGTAAAACACCCTGCTTGTGAGAACTGCAGAAACTTAATCGTTGACAATAGAAGCGAATTCATTGATTAAAAAACGAAAATTTAGAAGAAATCTAAACACGTAAAAACATCGTAAATTTACACCAAATGATCCGAAACGCTTACGAAAATCATCGTAGCTTGGCACCTATTGACCAGCCGGGTACCACAGTAATCTCCAATTTACATGTAGACAGCACATCCTGCTTGCTGCAGCCATGTCGGCAAGATTTTGCACAAAAACTCTGCCTTAAACTCTATTTTGGAAGGAATTTCCAAAAATTTGCATATGAAATCCTGCGCAGGTGCGCCCAAGACATACTCTTCAAAGAAATTCAATAAAAAGTTTTACTAAAATCGCTGTCCGATCGATAACAACAGTGTTCGGAGTGGAATAAACAAAAGACAAAATAAAATACACATCACGGTGAATTATGTGATGAATAAGTCAACTAGACAGAAAATACAATGGAATAAATGTAAATGGTTGAGACCATGCGAGGTAAAATACAAAAAGTGTTCCAGCAAAAAAAGCCTGAATTATGTAGAGTAGGGAGTGGAATCAACCACTCAGATCGTGGGACGGAAAGGGTAGGACCAATAAGGATCATTAAGGTCCAGCTTGGTGTGAAATACTGTTATGTCCACCAAAGCTTCAAATCCATCAAAAGAGAAAACAATTAGTTGCCAATTCATAAAAAAACGAAATGCTGTAATATTAGACGTCTTCTCGGCAATGAGTGATAGATAAAAATTAGTATTAAAAATCACAAATAATTACATAACAACTGCGCACTGACTGCACCCAACAGCTTATGATGTAGAGAAGCTACCATCCTCCTTAAAAAACAATTTTAATGGCTGGTTTGCTAAAATGTGCTAATTTAACTTGCAGGAACAATTTAGGAATCAGTCGAGTTTCACAACGCCAGCTGCGGTAGCATTAAAAGTAATACTCACTGCTCTATTTCAACTTCCACGCAAGCCACGCCCCTTTTACATTTATCTTTACCAACTTGGACAATAAAGCTGCCTCCAGACAACTCCTCCTACCCAACTTTTAAATTAGGCTGCTTTTAATAAGCACATGTCTTCAATTCGCCGGCATTACTAACGGCGGCATCAACTTTCACACACCACTAATTACACTAACCAAAAAACGCCCCTTTCTTTCACTTTCTCATCTTTTAAGCGTTAGGCGCTATGAATTATTCCGGTTGCCAGTCACAGCAGGAGCAATATACAAGGCGCGGTATCATATTGATCCGAATTTCATATTCGTCGTAGCACATGCTAAAAAGGACTACTCCAGATGGCTGCGTAAGGAACTCTATCACCGAATCGTCAACTTCAAATGCAGAATTTCAAAAGTATCGAAAGATTCTCATTGTGGAGTATTCAAACTGGTATGACACAACCTAGAAATTTTGCCCTAGTCAGGTATCCGAAGTTTTTTTTTTTTAAATCTACTATTGTTTCTAAGAAATTCGACATATGGGCCTGATTACCGCGCTTCTCCCTCCACAGCTCATTCGCTCGCAGGATTGCTCAGCCTTGAGAGTACGTCAGTCTAAATGCTTACCCAATGCAGAGCGAACACAAACGCTTTGATTTGGTTATGGAATTCGCCAAGTTTCTCATCCTTCACATTTGTATACATCTCGGAGAGTTCTTTCATGATTTCGTCCTGGAATGGGCAATTCTTGATTAAACATTATCGACAATTACCTTCGGAAACAACAAATTCGATTACCCTATTGCACACTAGAGGCCAACTATCGGGAACAGGAAGCGGAACAGTATAACGTCCGGTAGGCGGTGAATTTGCGTCGTTCCTTTATTGAAACACATTCAAATCAAAATCTAAGAAGTACACGAAAACCCAACCAGAAACATTAACTAACCATTTTCTTGAGTCAACTTTATCTGCCTTGCGCGGTCTCCCACGCTGACGTTTCTCGGTAAGAACATGCCTGGAAGACTCAATCGATAAAAGATCATTAAGAAATAGAATTATGCCGCAAAGAGCCTTTATTTTGAGCCAGTTCAAATCAGTTGTCGATTGATAAACAGAACTCACCCGCCATCACTTGCGCCTTTAGCTAGGGCACTCTTAGGGCTTTTGGGGGCGTCACATGAATCAGATTTCTCCGACGCTGAGTCACTTTTCTTGAGTGTTCCATTATTTAGTGCTCCTTGATCCGAAGATTCTTCAGCGCTAAAAGGTGTCTTTGCTAGAACACTTATAAAAATCGCATGAAAACATAACGCCATAAAAAGCGAGTACAACTAACTAAAGAGTTGAATAAAAATAAAAAACGAAACCGCTCCAAGAATTGATCACCTTGTTTCCGCTGGTCGTTTCTTGGGAGGCCTGCCTCTTTTACCAGTTGAAACCTTTTTCACTTCCGGGGCACTGAAACCAATGCGTGAAAATTATATAGGAGCCTTAACTGACTTTTTCACATCAAAAATGAATGGTGAAAGACAAAAAATACATATCAGGGACACATACACAGAGTTAATGAATCGATACACTGATTATATAACAACTAAACTAATAAATAAAAAATATATAAGAATCTAATCTAAAACTAAATATCTCATTGACGAGGCAACATGCAAAGCGTTCATGATAAGCTAGTTTTCGGTTTCGGACGCCACACCGATATAGAGTACGAAAACATGCCTACAGAAACTTCTAAGTTTGTTACCCACTAAGTGGAAGAATTTTGGGAAACTCTAATAATATGGAATTATTCGAGTTGACGAACCATGGTTGAACATACTGCACACTAGCAT